ACCGAATTGACAAGAGCACAGAAAAGAGGGAATTGAGATACAGTATAACCTTTCGCTACGTAAGCAGGAGCACCAATGCGACATTGATTATTGGTGATTCAAACACCCGGTTCCTCAAATTTGGGGCTGGTAAAGGAACATTTGGTCACAAACTGCCTGGGAAAAGAATTGAATGTTTCACAATAGATCAGTTAGACCCTCTTCTTTGTGTAGGATACAAGAACGTTGTAGTACACTGTGGTGTAAATAATATCAAGAGGGGAGGGGGTGATGTTTAACATTGGGCTAATGAGCTGACAAAGAAGCTCAAGAATATTTGTGATATGTGTCCATACTCTAAAGTTATAGTTTCACCCATCCTTCCAACTAGGTCCTCCTGGCTGAATGACAGAGCCATGGAGTTTAATAGTTTATTATTTGGGTACTGTAATACTAATACTAGAATTGGCACTTTAGATTTTGATAGTTTTGTTGATGAGGAGGGTCTACTGGACAAGCAGTTTTGTAGATACAAGAAGCCGGATGACCCAATCCACCTGGGGTCAAGCGGTATCTTTAAACTCTCCCGGGCAATTGCCCATAAGATCCTAGGTAGCCCAGTTGATGGGAGGTTGTTCAGTGATGTTACCAAGGCCCAAAAAAGATTTTCCCCACGTTCTCGTAGATCCGTAGTTATGTCATGATAGCCAAACTAATATGCGAAATTTGCTGCTGCTGCAATAGACCTGTGCGTGCTGGACATCCATTCATAACTTGTCAGATGTGTGACAAAATAATGCATAAAAAATGCAAAACTGATGATAACATAGTCAAATTTCGAGATGCAACATACTGCAAAATATGCACTGATGCCAATGATATCGTTCGGTATAACCCTTTCTACCAAGCTCCCCACTTTGCAAACAATGGCCTCATTGATGATGAGCCAGTTAATTATATTGAATCTATCTACAACAGCTCAAAGATACTTGAAAATTGCAAAACATTCTCAATAACAGAGTTGAATGCCACCATCCTACCTAAAAATTCAGCTAAATATTTGTCCAAATTATTTCTAAATATTGATGGAAATGCATCAAACTTTGACAACTTTGCAGTTGAATTGTCTTGTATCGACCACAAATTCTCTGTTATCGGCCTTGCAGAAACAAACACTAATCCCGAAAATGGAACTCTGTATCAGCTTAACGGATACTCCTCTTGTTACCAATCACGCTACTTTTGCCAAGAGAAAAACCAGTTCAAGGGTAAAGGGTCAGGAGTGTGTCTTTACCTACATGATTCCCTTAACTTTAACAAAATCACTGACTTATCTCTCTGTAATGAACACATAGAATCACTGTTTGTATCAATCACTAGCTTGCAAGATCCAACGGTCGTAGGGGTTATATACCGTCCCCCAAACGCATCACTTGAGATGTTCAACAAAGCCTATGAATGTATTCTCTCAAAACTGAATGGCAAAAAAGTATATATTCTTGGTGATTTCAATGTTAACATTTTGAACGACCCATCTCCATCAGAGGACAAATTTCAAGAAATAATATTCAACAACGGCTTCATACCAACCATATCATTACCAACTCACCAAATGCCTGGCTGTTCCAGGACCTGTATTGACAATATCCATACCAATGTCGTAGATCAATCCCTTATTTCTGGTGTGATATCTGACAAGATCTCCCACCATCACCCTATATTCACTCTTATTGAACTTTCCCCTGACTCTGTGCCAACACCTGATTCATCAGACAAAATTACTATACACTACGACTATAGTAATGCTAACTTAGAGAAGCTCTGTCTTGAAATAGAAAACGATATAGATAGGTTCCACCACAGCTGTAACACATTTGACTCTTTCGTGCAGTTATTTCAAGAAAAGATAGATTTGTCTTGCAAACTTCTAACTCCTAGAACCACTAAACGTAACAGCATAACCAACCCTTGGATCACCCAGGGCCTCATTAACTCCATCGACAAGAAAGCTAGGTTGTATTTCGAATGGAAGAAGACTTGTACATTAAAACTACCTGATGGGGATCCAAACAAGCACATATATTACAAGGAATTCGACAAGTTTCTCAAGAGCTCAATAAAGATGGCAAAGGCTATGTGCTATACTCAAAAATTCGAGAAGTACAGCATGAACTCAAAAAAGACCTGGGAAATTATAAATGAACTCCGTGGCAAAAATTTATCTAGATGTAAAGACGATTTTGTCATAGATGGCCAGAGAGTTACTTGCAGACGAATAATTGCTAACAAATTCTGTGAATATTTTACATCTCTTGCAAGTAATCTCAATAAAAATGTACTGTCAAACAATAGTATTTCTCTGGAACCAGTAGAATCATTTGCTCAGTTTATGTCTAATTCGGTATCTGACTCCATATACCTGGAAGAAACTAATGAAAACGAGATTATCGAGGTGATCCGAGATTTTCAAAATGGTAAGGCCAGTGACATACCTGTAGTTGTCGTAAAAAAACCGGCAAAACTCATTGCAGGTACTTTGGCTAGGCTTTACAACACATGTATACAAAGTGGTACATTCCCAAGTATTTTTAAAACTGGTAAAGTTATTCCTATTTACAAGAAAGACAATAAAGAATGCATTGAAAATTATCGGCCTGTATCAATATTACCTTTATTTGGAAAGATCTTCGAGAAGGTTATTTATAAACGCCTCTATAATTTCTTCACATCTAAAGGTGTACTAACAGACTCACAGTTTGGATTTAGAAAAGGCCATTCTACCACCCATGCTCTACACAAATCTATAGACTCCGTTACTAAGTCTCTGGCAAGCAATAAACATGTCCTAGGGATATTCATTGACTTGAGCAAAGCCTTCGACACCCTTGATCACGATATTCTTTTATGCAAATTAAATTCCTACGGTATTAGGGGCACAGCACTTACCTTACTAAAAAGCTATTTGACTAACAGAAAGCAGTATGTTATGTATAACGATGTACCATCAGAAACAATGGGCGTGAAATTTGGAGTACCACAAGGGTCAATTCTAGGGCCGTTACTCTTCCTATTGTATATGAACGATATAGTAAACTGCTTTTCAGACAGTGAGGTGAAATTTGTACTTTATGCTGATGACACTAATATCTTCATATCAGGACCATCTAGAGAAGCAACATACAAAAAAGCCAACTTAGTACTTAAACATGTCTCGATTTACATGAAATGTAATCTACTTCATATCAATATGTCCAAATGCTGCTACATACATTTTAAACCTGCCTCTGAATATGATGACACCTGTGCACGGACCAGACCATTTGCTATCCTGCTAGATGAATCTAGATCAATATTCATCAATGGTAAGGTTATTACTAAAGTCAAGGATACCAAATTCTTAGGTGTTGTTATAGATAGTAAGCTAAACTGGATTGCCCACATGCACTACATCCGTAAAAAACTGCGATCTATGACTGGTGCAATCTGCAGAATTCGGCACTCGATACCTTCTGAACTATATTTAAAAATATATAATGCTCTTTTTGAATCACATCTCAGTTATGGTATAAGTGTGTGGGGTGTTGTCCTCAAAGAACGGTCCAATGATAGTCTTTTCATCACACAGAAGCACTGTATAAGGATCCTTTTTGGCAACCTTGACTCATATTTAGATATAAACAATCAACATGTGCACGTACTAGACCATACGGTATGCAAAAACTAGACCATAAACACTTTGAAAAGGAACATACAAAACCCATTTTTAATAGATTAAAAATACTTACGGCTCAAAACTTGTACAAATATCACTGCATCTTAGAATTTTCTAAGATTATCAAGTACCACTGCCCATACTCCCTTTATGAGGCTATCAACATTTCAAACCGTGCAACGAGTCTCACGGTTATTCTCCTAAATAAATCAAATACCTTTTTGTTTAATGCAGCCAAGCTTTGGAACGCTGTTCATAAAAAAATTTTAACTTCAAGCAATTGCTTAGAAACGTCCATTAGCTTGATAAAACTGAGAACAAAAGCACTATTAATACAAGCACAGGCAGCTGACTTAAAAGATACTTGGACTCCAAACAATTTTAAATTGCAGTAATCAAGTCTAATTGCAGCGGTGCACACTTACTATTACTATCATGATTGTACTATAAACAGAAAATCTTTCAAATCGATTTTGGGCGCTTTTTAACCATTTGTTGTAATGTTTTTAGATACTATATATCTAAATTTATAAAAATTTTTATCGGAATGAATTAATTTATTGATATTTAATAATTTATTCGGTAGGTTTATCTGGTATTGATATTGATTATTATATTGATATTGTTATTATTGAACGAAGCTAACTCTAGACATAGTTAATACTACTTCTTTTAAGAAAGGGACTTGGAGTATAAACGACCAAGTTTGCATAAATTTCTATCCAACCAAGAACTCAGGAGGCAAAGGTGGGTGCGTAAACTTTTGGTCTGCACTCTCCGATCCTGTATCACCCTGGATTCTTCTCGACGTATCTTTGTAAAAGGTATATACCTTCTAGTCAATCTCTTGCTACTCCAAGTCCCCTAAGATATTTGATCTAAAGTTCGTGCTAGTTATATATATAGAAAATATATTTTTGTCTGCTTTAATTGATACTAAATAAAATTGTTGTTTTCTTGAAATTGTTGTTTTTTCTTGAACGCATCCGCACGTTCATCAAAAACTTCAGCGAGGTTACATCTAGTTTAACTCGTACTTTCACTCAAGATGAGATATTATTGCTGAAAAATATGTATACACGAATTAGATTGCATAGCTAGGGCTTACTCTCAGGTTAGGGTTAAGTTTTGTCCCTTTTCCAGCAGATGTATTCATTCCATATTACTGACTTCCTACCTGCCCAGACTTTGCATTCTTGGGGCCCAATAACAATATTCTTAACACTCACTCCCACGTTTAATGGAGCTTAAGTCATGTCAGACGGTTTATGTGCATGTTTTCTCGTTCTCACAGCGAAATTGAACAGCATTTCTGAATAACAAAACTTGCATTTCGCAAAAAAATATAGAGAAAATACAGATAACAATTAACATCATACATTATAATCATCTTACGCAATTGCGATATTAATTAATCTGAAATCTTACACCAGTATCACAATAAAACCGACCCTGTGTCTGAAGACAAAAGACAGTGCAATCCACTTAAACTCTGGAACCGTTTAAGAGAATATTTAATGCATATATAATTGCATAAAATACGAGCTGATAGTTGATAGTTCGCGAATCGCGTCTGTGTCCTAGTCTGTTCCGACAATTTTCATTATACTGGCTGTTTACTCAGTTTTCTTTTCCTCGACGGTTTTCGGCTCTGCTGCGACTTCTTCACCTTCATCCGCCGCCAATATTACTTTTCCTACGAATAGTTTGATTTTAGTTGCAACAGAAACAAAATTGGATGATCAATTTAACGAAAGTTGTAAACTGACGTTCAAGGAAAAATTTAAAAAAAATTATTCTTATGAATAGCGATTAATGTAATATTAGATTGTGATGAAATATACAGGTGATAAAATACATAGGTTATTATACAGGTAAATGGTAGATTATATACAGGTATTAGTAGATTATATTATGGAAATATTATCTTGTTTAATTCCACATACCTTCACTAGTAATATCAGCTTGTTCAGGAACACCCTCAGGGTGAGATTTGCTCGTCCCAAACTCGTTGACTCTGTTAGGATCCTCCCTGTACGCCCACCGCTGGTACAGGTAAATGAAAAATACTATATCTGAGGAAAGGTGAATCGTGATTAATATGATAATTTAAAATAATTCATTGATAAGAATCATAGAAAAAAGAGTATTCTTCACTTAGACTTATTTTTTAAACCATACTTTTCATTCCAACATCTGCTTGGGCTAAGATCTGGTACGTTTATTGACTATTAAATTCCACAATCCACACTAAACACACATTCCCAGGGACTCCTAGAAGAACTGACCATCTCTAAAGCATCCCAGTCGGTAGAGAGTAGGCATCTTGATAACAAACGCAAACAGGTCATCTATAAATGTGTTGAGAGCTTTATATGTCAACATTCTCCAAGGTAGATGAGCCACACTCTTCATCTTATAGTTGATAAACAGTTGGGGTGTCATCATGATAAACCCTGGGGAGGACGTTCAGCATCAACTAAATTTAGTTACAATTTTAACTTTTAAATAGCTAAGTAAGCGCTAATTTAAACATTAAATTTAAGCAGTAATTAGTAATTAGAGAATTAAAGTTATCATTAAAAACGTCCTTAACGCTGAACATAGTAAAGAGGATGCCCCCACATAATAACACACCCCCACAACCCTACTTAACGCTGAACATAGTAAAGAGGATGCCCCCACATAATAACACACCCCCACTACCCTACTTAACGCTGAACATAGTAAAGAGGATGCCCCCACATAATAACACACCCCCACTACCCTACTGAACATAGTAAAGAGGATGCCCCCACATAATAACACACCCCCACTACCCTACTGAACATAGTAAAGAGGATGCCCCCACATAATAACACACCCCCACTACCCTACTGAACATAGTAAAGAGGATGCCCCCACATAATAACACACCCCCACTACCCTACTTAACGCTGAACATAGTAAAGAGGATGCCACCACATAATAACACACCCCCACTACCCTACTTAACGCTGAACATAGTAAAGAGGATGCCCCCACATAATAACACACCCCCACTACCCTACTGAACATAGTAAAGAGGATGCCCCCACATAATAACACACCCCCACTACCCTACTGAACATAGTAAAGAGGATGCCCCCACATAATAACACACCCCCACTACCCTACTGAACATAGTAAAGAGGCTGACTTACTGACTTGACTTACTGACTTAAGTCGGCTTCTTGGTCCGAGCAACTACAATTCCTCGCCACACGTCGCGGTCAAGCATAACAGATCTTATCTCTTCAACACAGGAAAGGCTGGTGTCCTTCTTTAGCATGTCCAGAAACGTGAGGTGGGGCCTCCCCGGTCTCCTGTATCCATGCTGAGGGTCCCAGAACAGAAGTTGGTTTGCCAGAAGGTCGTCATGCCTGGCTACATGTCCAGCCAGTCTCATTCTTCTGGAGGCTATCATCGCTGATGGCTTGGGGATGTTGCCGTATAAATCACTGTTGTTGATGATTTGTGGCCAACGTATGTTCAAGGCCATCCGGAGCATTCTAGTGTAGCATCCATTGATCCGCTTAGTCATGGATTGGCTTATCGTCCAAGCTTCAGAGCCGTACAGGAGTACGGGCTCAACCGTTGCTCGAAAGACACGGATCTTTAAGTCCCTGCGCATTCCAGACTTCCAGGTTGTCTTTAACTGATGACAGGCCCCCCATGCCTTTGCTTTCCTAACATCAAAGTCCTTCTCCGCACTCATTATTCTGCTTCCAAGGTAGACAAAGTCATCTACTTGCTCTATCTCCTGCCCACTTGCTGCTTTAATGACGGTAGAGTCAGACTCAGAGAGATTGACTCAGATGTACTTCGTCTTACTCTCGTTGAGGTGCAGTCCAACGGAGTTAGCAGCCAGCTCCACACTGAGGAGAAGATCTTGCGCTTGCTCTGCGGTGTCTGTTGTCAGTGCAAGATCGTCAGCAAAGTCGACATCTGTCATCTTAAGTAAAGAGGATGCCCCCACATAATAACACACCCCCACTACCCTACTGAACATAGTAAAGAGGATGCCCCCACATAATAACACACCCCCACTACCCTACTTAACGCTGAACATAGTAAAGAGGATGCCACCACATAATAACACACCCCCACTACCCTACTGAACATAGTAAAGAGGATGCCCCCACATAATAACACACCGTACACCCCCACTACCCCACTTACCGAACAATAAGAGGTATCCGTAGCACATAGAGAGCGTCCAGGAGTACCAGCCCTTGTGTTCCTCGTACAGCAGTGAGTACACAGCGTACCCAATCAGCAGAGGGGTCAGCACCCACGACAGGTACTTGAACGCTAACTGAGGGGGCAGGGGTTAGATCACTAGACATCTCCTAAAACAAAATAACAGTTCTTAAATCCCTCACATCTCCCTTCCAACTTGATCTGACAGAGCAATTAACACTCGACAGACGACATCCCTCCATGACCAGAACAGACCGTTCCCTAAAATGTAGCTTTCTCTGGGACACCATCTCTCCTAAAAATGCTTTCTCCGTTAAGCCTAAATCATCTGGCATTTCTTTAAACGTAGTTTTTTAGTTATTCTATATTTAAATATAGAAATATACACACTCATACCCCATTTAAACACCTTCACACACCCCCATGCCACACTGACACCACTGGATCACATATAATCGCCCCATCATCCCTACTCCCCAGCTGAAGACGATTTACACATGTACAGCTGAAACCTCAGCTACCAAAAAAATCACTTAAATGTTCGAAGAACCCACCTCGGTGCCAGTACTCCAGTACTCCAGTACTCCAGTACTCCAGTACTCCAGTACTCCAGTACTCCAGTACTCCAGTACTCCAGTACTCCAGTACTCCAGTACTCCAGTACTCCAGTAGCTCTCAAGGTTCTGGCTGTGACCACGTGCTTAAAAAACTGGTGCCATACCATAATACTCAATATAGAATTCTATTGTAATAACTTTTCAATTAGGCTGGCTTTGAAGCTACAGCTCACAGATTAAGTCAGTTTTGTGTTGGTGACAGCCTCAGATATTTTAGAGTAGATGAACTAGTACATGAACTATAACTTAGGCGAATTATTGGAGAAAAGGAGACTAAACATGACTAAATTGTGCGGGACCGACATGAAGTAAAGGTTAATACTTAATTATTGTAACTGATGTACGCGATACTGTATTATCCCATCAGTCACTAAACATGTCCACTATTAAGTTCGCTATACACGTCCTAGGAGATAACCGAGATATATGCCACATGTCCACCGCATGTTATGTAATATATATGAAATATCACGTGTTATGTATGACATGCCACATGTTATATACATATCACGTGGTTATCGTATCTAGGTTTAATCACAATGCGTGCAGGATTAATCAGACGTGGCTGGCGGGCGATTGCTGGAAACAAGGCCCGAAGTGGCCTGACCTCAGCAGATTGGGGGTCCCTAGCAATAATATGATTGGTGCTCGCTTTGTGACCGTCTTCTAAGATCGAGCAGTGACAGCTGTTTCTCGCAATGTGTACTGTTACTTTTGTGCTCTGTGTTGTTCTTTGTAACCTGCACTGGAGGTTTAGTTGAGCTACCTTCGCGTCTGTACTCTGTACTATATTCTATATCTGAATTATCGATTAGTAACCAAGTCAGTACACATTTTGAATGGTTCCTTAAACTTCAGTTTAAACTAACGTCATGTCAAGTTTTAGCTGGTTAACTTAATCGACGGACTTTTAAAATTATTTTGTAGTTTTCTACTTCTAGAGATATGGTCACAACCATTCAACGATGATGGTTTGGGTTTCTTTTGTATTTCTGGCTAATAATTTGAGTTCACAAACATTACATAACGTTTTAAGTTTATCTTGCGCACCTATTCAGCCTCTATCATAATAAAAATATGATTACGTTGCTTCGGCCAACAATTTCATAGCATTTTGTAAATTACAGCTCAATAAGTACCAGTTTACTGATAGTATTTAACTAATATTGTCCGAATATTTGCAGTACGCATATTCAGCAATGCTAGGTGTTCAGCAATGCTAGGTATTCAGCCTGGCTGCCCATATCGCGTGGTGGTCCAGGCCAGGATAACTAACGCCGGTTACAAAGGGTATTAACGACCCTGCTCTGGCTGGAAATCATTCGTCACTTGCAGTCTTTACCTCGACATTGGGTTGTATGTACTTGCTGGTGCTGTTTTACTAAACACAGCGTTTATAACACTAGGTGGTGCTAGTTTCTCAATAAACTCTGTCTTACTGTGAGTTGACTGGTTGGCGCCTGGGTGATGGTGAAGACACAGGTGTGGGGGTTGGGGGTGGGTAATGAGGTAACTAGTGCAACTAATTAGAGTTATACCCCCTCACACTACCTCACACTACCTCATAGTATAACACCGTCTTTGTGCACCATTTATATAGCATACACTCTCAATCTCTGCTTTTTAAAACCGTTCAAAATTTTTGAAATAAATCGCGGATAACGATGATCCGTAAACAGAAAAGTTAGATTTCAAAAAGAAGGTTAGAATATAGTAAGATAGATTGAGTTAGAATGTTAGTTGGAACGTTAGAACACGACTCACCCTGTCGTATGCTTTAGTTGGGGACTCAGCATAACTACTCTTGTCTTTGATAGTAACCCTTGGTATGATTCCTAACACAGGGTTAGACATATCCACCTGAAATAAGTTGGTTAGTAACACGTGATATGACAAACTGCTGTAATTATGTCTTGTATATTAGTTATGCATTTTGAGCTAAAGATTTTTTACATTCTGCTTCATCTTTGATATGTACTGCCTTGTGGGATAGGGTTTGTATGATTGTTAGGATTTATTGGTTCAGAGAACTAGTTCTGATCGTTCTAATGGGAAAACGTGTTCTCTTAACCATTGTTAAAATTCGATATATTCTACTCCTTATAGTTATAATGCACGGTGAAGTCACTGTATGTACTCATTTTCAAAGCGGGACTAATAGCCCGACGGGCATACCATTAGTATGTATAACCCAATATAATACTGTCTTAACTTATTAACATTTTACAAGCTGGTTTATTTTAGAAACACTATGTTTCTTCATAATGTACAAGGGAGAGATAGTTTAATAATAATAATATCATTTAACGATATTATTAAGTTTGTTGGTTGGGAGTATTACGGCTCTCAAATGTTTGTCCGGAGGCGTGATACCCCTACCAATATATCACATTGTTACCAACCATATTTAGCGGGAATAAAGTGAATTATCGATATGTCCTACCAATGAGCTCTATATAATAGACAAGCATGTGGACATATACTTGTAATATAGAGGAGTATTGTAATTGGTAAGCTGTCTGTCTCCACTTCTATCATGTCATACAAACTAACTTAAGTTACTCAATTGAGAGGGAAGCCTATTATGTACAATACTAATTTTAATTTAATGAATCTCTATAAATATTTAGATGATGGTAGATTGAATAAGATAATGATGAATTAAACATCAAGTCGTTTAACTGTCATTAAACCATCTTAAAATTGTACGACCCCAGGCTTTACTCGCTTGGATGACTTATCTTTATCAACATTTGACATTTTATTAGTTTAAGACAGGCTGGCGGCAGCCCCAGAGCAGATCGCTTTATGTTGTCTATCGTATGACTTCTCATTTAATTTATTATACTAATCTTTATTTTTCCAATAAGTTTTTGCAGGACACAAATCCATGAATATTCCATTGACGCACAACCGTTGACGTCACAAATCACAGTTTCTCATCAATTGAAAAATACTTGCAGCCCATTAGAGCATGTCGGAGGTAATAACCCATTTTCTCCGCAGTTCTATTACATTAAATGAACTGTTTATATTTGTTTATCTGTAACGTGTGTGAACACAAGGGAACAAACAGTTTTACAAACAAATTGGCTGCTTGAAGTTTATCGTAACTTGCTTTCTGTTCTGAAAATATTGAAATATCCGCAGTTTTAAAGATGTTGCTGAGCCAAAAATCTGGTATATCGAACCTTTGATCTTTTAGCTTTTTAAGTCAAGCGAATAATAAGACTAAAACATATATTCTATATCTATTGATCTCACGTACGCTTTTTCATACAGATTTATCACAGTAAATCTACACTTTTATTATCAAATCTATCTACACTTTTATCGTTAAATCTACACTTTTATTTTACTCGTAATCAGTACAATCTAGTGGTTTAGAGTTCTTTTATTCGTTAGATCGGAGAATGTGGATTGCGACAAACTGGCGCTGTCTAAAGTTAATTTATACTACGATCTGCTGTTTAATCAGTATGAAACACAGATTTATATTGTCCAGTAATATTGATTACTGAACATGAGCCAAATAAACACTAATAAACACTAATAAACACTAATAAACACACACTCGCGCTTATAATCCCTGCTACACCATAGCTCTAAACAATGCCCAATGTTGGTTCTTATCCCTCACATTTACTAACTAACTAAATAACCACCAATTATTACAGGCTCAAACGTGTACAAATAGATTTGTGAGATGATATCTAGCCGATCTATTTGTTTCTTGCCCGCTCTTATTATTATACCCACACACCTCAAATCATTAGTTTAACTCCAGTTGAAACACGTAGGTGCTACCACGTAGGTGCTACCACGTAGGTGCTACCACGTAGGTGCTACCAAGTAGGTGCTACCACGTAGGTGCTACCACGTAGGTGCTACCACGTAGGTGCTACCACGTAGGTGCTACCACGTAGGTGCTACCACGTAGGTGCTACCACGTAGGTGCTACCACGTAGGTGCTACCACGTAGGTGCTACCACGTAGGTGCTACCACGTAGGTGCTACCACGTAGGTGCTACCACGTAGGTGCTACCACGTAGGTGCTACCACGTAGGTGCTACCACGTAGGTGCTACCACGTAGGTGCTACCACGTAGGTGCTACCACGTAGGTGCTACCACGTAGGTGATCACAGTGCTCAGTGATCTAAATTTGTAACCGCTTAACAAGACGGTCATGTAATTGTGATAGTTAACACTTCTGTAGTAGTGGAACAGCAATACTAAGGTAATGGGACCTCTGCCTGATCCAGAGGATATCACCATTTTACCTTCACACAGACATCGAACGTTGTAAGAAGATGACGATCAGACCTCATTATAGTTAACACTTCTACACTGAGTTTAATTTCAGTTCTGTTCACTGAACTGTTTCTAACTCGATAAGGATGTGGTTTAATTTATTAAGCCTAAGGAGGGTTGTAATCTCTGTTTAACGATGGGATAAGTACATCAGTGTGATCTTATGGAGCTTTTAATTACTTTAAATCTTTTAATTACTTTCTTGATAATTTATTAATGATTTCAATTCTGTTTTTTATGTAGGGTCGGCACCAATGTCATTATGGTTTAACCGCCGTGTTTTGGTTTAGCCGAAAAAGATTTTACTAATGTTTTACATAGATTTTTCACACTCCAGCTGCAGTTTTGACTTCAAACCACCATATCAATATGATGAGCAATGAGTATTGATTTTATCTAAAAGTTGGACAATCGACACGCCTTTTTAATGAGGTCCAATTATAATCTATAATTATATAATTAAACCCCCATTATAAACTAAATAATTACTTCCAATTAAAAGTTCATGTCACTTGTCAAAATGCTAAGCTGCTTAGAGGCGATATGGAGAATTTTCATTGCATCTGATAGGCCACTTCCCAATCGTTCAATCGTAGTTCGTACACAAACAAAAATTCCTAATTACGTTGCTAATTACACTACTAATTACACTACAGTGCAACTATCGTATTTATAGAGAGTTATGTCGGGACATTGCTTTTAATCTCATTACTCGGACAGAAGCAGTGAGTATAACCCACCCTGCTTTTTGAGAAGTTGTGTGTCAGATTTACTGTGATAACAGAGTTGTGGTTGCTGTGGTAACAGAGTTGTGGTTGCTGTGGTAACAGAGTTGTGGTTGCTGTGGTAACAGAGTTGTGGTTGCTGTGGTAACAGAGTTGTGGTTGCTGTGGTAACAGAGTTGTGGTTGCTGTGGTTACAGAAACTGTTCATACTAGAGATGTCGGTAGTAGCCTGCGTCCTACTATTTGTTTCGTGGTTAGGTAAGTGAATATGTTTTTTTGTACCCAGTATTTCTATATTCTGTAAAGTAATTATACTTCAGTCCTTAAAATGCTGTATAAATAAGCCTTCGCTTGCGGAGTAATATAAGAAGGGTAGCAGCTGTTAGGTTGTACAAGCAGTGAGATACACACTGCACTTGCACTGGTAGATGAAATGAAGGGGGGGGTGTCATGTCCGTCTATGTCCGCCTATGTCCTGTCCTTTTTGGATTCTATGAGACAACGGACGTGTTTTTTGGGACATTGGCGGACACGGACGGACATTGGCGGACTCGGACGGACATTGGCGGACTCGGACGGACATTGGCGGACTCGGACGGACATTGGCGGACCCGGACGGACATTGGCGGACTTGGATGGACATTGGTGGACATTAGCGGACAAACATTTTGAGGACTGAAGAGTACTGAAGAGTACTGAAGAGTACTGAGGAGGATGGCTGAGAAGGATGGCTGAGGAGGATGGCTGAGGAGGATGACTGAGGAGGATGACTGAGGAGGATGACTGAGGAGGATGACTGAGGAGGATGACTGAGGAGGATGACTGAGAAGGATCAGGAAGACCCAGGAGGAGGAGGAGGAGGAAGACCCAGAAGGAGGACCTAGGAGGAGGAGGAGGAGGAGAACTGAGGAGGATGACTGAGGAGGAGGAGGACTCAGGAGGAGGACTCAGGAGGACTGAGAAGGAGGAGGACTCAGGAGGATGGCTGAGGAGGATGGCTGAGGAGGATGACTGACAGGAGGAGGAGGAGGAAGAGGAGGAAGAGGAGGAAGAGGACTGAGGAGGAGGAGGAGAAGAAATGGGGAGGAGAAGGAGGACCCAGGAGGAGGAGGACCCAGGAGGAGGAGGACCCAGGAGGAGGACCCAGGAAAAGGCCCCAGGAGGAGGAGGAGGACTGGGGAGGAGGAGAACTGTTGAGGACTGATGAGGAGGACTGAGGACGAGGAGGAAGAGTACGAGGAGGGGAGGAGGAAGAGGACTGGGGAGGATCAGGAAGACCCAGGAGGACCCAGGAGGAGGAGGAGGAGGAGGACCCAGGAGGAGGAGGAGGACTGAGGAGGACTGAGGAGGACTGAGGAGGACTGAGGAGGACTGAGGAGGAGGACTGACGATGACTGAGAAGGAGGAGGACTGAGGAGTACTGAGGAGGATGGCTGAGGAGGATGGCTGGGGAGGATGGCTGAGGAGGATGACTGAGGAGGATGACTGAGAGGGAGGAGGAGGAGGACTCAGAAGGAAGAGGAGGAGGACTCAGGAGGAGGACTCAGGAGGAGGACTTAGGAGAAATGAGAAGGAGGACTGAGGAGAACTGAGGAGGAGGAGGAGGAGGAGGAGGACTGAATAGGAACAACGGACGTGTTTTTTGGGACATTGGCGGACACGGACGGACATTGGCGGACTCGGACGGACATTGGCGGACCCGGACGGACATTGGCGGACTTGGATGGACATTGGTGGACATTAGCGGACAAACATTTTGAGGACTGAAGAGTACTGAAGAGTACTGAAGAGTACTGAGGAGGATGGCTGAGAAGGATGGCTGAGGAGGATGGCTGAGGAGGATGACTGAGGAGGATGACTGAGGAGGATGACTGAGGAGGATGACTGAGGAGGATGACTGAGAAGGATCAGGAAGACCCAGGAGGAGGAGGAGGAGGAAGACCCAGAAGGAGGACCTAGGAGGAGGAGGAGGAGAACTGAGGAGGATGACTGAGGAGGAGGAGGACTCAGGAGGACTCAGGAGGACTGAGAAGGAGGAGGACTGAGGAGGATGGCTGAGGAGGATGGCTGAGGAAGATGACTGAGGAAGATGACTGACAGGAGAAGGAGGAGGAAGAGGAGGAAGAGGAGGAAGAGGACTGAGGAGGAGGAGGAGGAGGACCCAGGAGGAGGAGGACCCAGGAGGAGGACCCGGCAAAAGGCCCCAGGAGGAGGAGGAGGACTGGGGAGGAGGAGAACTGTTGAGGACTGATGAGGAGGACTGAGGACGAGGAGGAAAAGTACGAGGAGGGGAGGAGGAAGAGGACTGGGGAGGATCAGGAAGACCCAGGAGGAGGAGGAGGACCCAGGAGGAGGAGGAGGACTGAGGAGGACTGAGGAGGAGGACTGACGATGACTGAGAAGGAGGAGGACTGAGGAGTACTGAGGAGGATGGCTGAGGAGGATGGCTGGGGAGGATGGCTGAGGAGGATGACTGAGGAGGATGACTGAGAGGGAGGAGGAGGAGGACTCAGGAGGAGGACTCAGAAGGAAGAGGAGGAGGACTCAGGAGGAGGACTCAGGAGGAGGACTTAGGAGAAATGAGAAGGAGGACTGAGGAGAACTGAGGAGGAGGAGGAGGAGGACTGAATAGGAGGAGGAGAAGGAGGGGGACTGGGAGAGGACTGGGGAGGAGGAGGACTGATGAGAAGGATGAGGAGGAGGACCCAGGAGGAGGAATGAGGACCGAGGAGGAAGAGGAGGAGGATGAAGAGGAGGAGGAGGACCCAGGAGGAGGAGGACTGAGGAGGAGGACTGAGGAGGACTGAGAAGGAGGAGGAGGAGGAGGAGGAGGACTGAATAGGAGGAGGAGGAAGGGGACTGGGGGAGGACTGAGGAGGAGGACTGAGGACTGAGGAGGAAGAGGAGGAGGATGAAGAGGAGGAGGAGGACCCAGGAGGAGGACCCAGGAGGAGGACTCAGGAGGAGGAGGAGGACTGGGGAGGAGGAGGACTGTTGAGGACTGATGAGGAGGACTGAGGACGAGGAGGAGGAGTAGGAGGAGGACTGAGGAGGGGAGGAGGAAGAGGACTGAGGAAGATCAGGAAGACCCAGGGGGAGGAGGAGGAAGAGTAGGAGGAGGAAGCATCTAAATGTTATTTCCATTTTTGTCCGTTTTTGTCCGCTCTATTTCTTGTCCGTTTTGAAAATATAGGGTACCGAACGGACAAAAAACATGATCCCCTATAACAGCAACAAGAATTGCGCCCGTTCTTCCGTTTTGGCGGACGCTAGATTTCCATTCCACATTTACTATAAATTTAAATATAAGCTCCAATCAGCTCACTTCAATCTTCATGATAATAATATTGATAAATTATGCATCAAATACGGGAAACACTTGAAATTCAGTTCAACTTAACTTGTATCTGTAATTCAAGAAATTATCAGCAAAGGTAAACTATACTCGTGTACACATCAATACACTACGCGTGCCACGTACAAATTGGGCGTATTACCTAATATTAATATTATACATTACATGCATCATATACATTAAAACACAGTAGCGCCGCGCATTCATAGATCAAATACTATCTATACATCACATCTCCGCAAGCAATCCTCGCGCGCGCGCAAGTTTTTCGTTGCTTGGTAACGAACGGAAGTAAGCAAGGAACACGACATATATTTGACCCACCTACCGCAATCTCCAAAATCCACGTTTTTCTGCAAAAACCTCCATTCGTAACCTTTCACTATTGCCTTTTTACAAAAGGGTGAAATGGAAAAAATTGAACATTTTATTTAGCAATTTAGGTGTCCATTAATGTCCGCCTATGTCCGCCTATGTCCGCCTATGTCCGCCTATGTCCGCCTATGTCCGCCTATGTCCGTCTATGTCCGCCTATGTCCGCCTATGTCCTGTCCTTTTTGGATTCTATGAGACAAGCGGACATAGACGGACGTGACACCCCCCCCAATGAAACGTGAACTATATTCCAGGTTTGTCAAAAGAACAAGACAGTTATCTGAGATATTATCCTCCTTTTATCAGACCAGACTACTCACACTACGGTACAGGTCAGTGTTAGGGAAGATGGGGTTAACAACTTTCAGCGTAGTTTTAAAGGGGTAATGTAGTGAATCAGTTTTTAGTTGGTTTTGAAAGAAAAATGGGAAGAAGATGAGTGGGGGGGTACCAATGGCATAAAATGGCATAAATGGCATACGTTTTATGGCATAAATGGAAATTTTGATTGGCCAATTCTCCATTTATGCCATGAATTTAGGTCTTCATATTTGACTTTAAATTCGCAAATTATTATTAGTACTTGAATAAGAGACATGTTTCATGCTTTATAACGCTTGGAATGATCGTTAAAGATTCATATGACAAATAAAGAAAATAGAAATGTATTATATCAAAAATGGCATAAATGGCATACGTTTTATGGCATAAATGGAAATTTTTATTGGCCAATTCTCCATTATGCCATTTATGCCATTGGTACCCCCCCCCCCCCCCCCCCCAGATGAGTATTATAATATCCAATATATAATATCCTAAAGAGGTCAAATCCAGAGGAATTGATAACAATTATTGAAAGACTGGAACTAACTTTGTTCCTAGAAGCTAAGTAAAGTTGCTAGCTATTATGTATTACTCGAGATGAATTAAACCATTTTGGTCAATCCCCAGACTAAAAACCAATTGTACAACACCAGTAACTCCAACATTTCAACAATGTTTTAAATATGTTGACAACATCGCAATATCGTATCAAGGAATGAGTCGAGAAATGTTTGGAATGAAGCTTTCTTTTAGTTTTGTTTTTCGTTTTCAATTTGGGTTTTAACTTTTTAAGTGTCACCGCGCAGTTTAAATTCTGATATTTTTGTCACGATGAATAACGTCCCCTACATTGCATCATGCGATCCTTGCTAGAGGAAGGTATTATGCTTTATATCATTATTTGGAATTCTCAGACTCAATTCAGGAAATTCTGTTACTTAATATATCTCATTTTGTTAAGAGAGAGAGAGAAAAGACAAATAGTATGACGCACTAAGAAATTAGGCACGCCTCTGACCAGAGCTCAAACTGGACTCTGAGTACTGTAAGGACTAAGGATGTCTTACAGACACTGCTCTCCAGAGAAACTGATACCTTGTAGCTTATTCTTCATTTGGTTATACTTATCCTCGCACACATTTGTTATTTGTTCCCGTACTTGGTAGCTCACTCTCCTGTCTCCTCACCAACATTCAACAATGCACAACAACCAACAGACTACAGCATTACAAGGCGACCTCAGCAGTGCAGAGAAGTTCATCTGGATATCATATTTACTTATAGTACTTCTATCATCAGTACTGGGGGATACTGTAATTCTAGTGGCTTCTATAAAGTACAAAGCCTTCAGGTTACACGAGTTTGTAGTGACAGTAATCCAGCATATTGCTGTATGTGACCTTCTTCTGGGGATCCGTACAGTCCTGTTCAGAATAGTGCCCATCATAGCTGAGGAGTGGATCTTAGGTGACATCTTGTGTTTCGTTAACGCTTACTCCTCAACTTATCTCTTCACAGCAAGCTTCCTTCTGGTATGTGTACTGACCATCAGTAAGGCTGTCTTGTTGAAGTATCCCTTAAGGACGAGCAGTATGACGATACAAAGAGCGCACCTGATCTGTGCCTTGACCTGGATGTGCTCCTTTAGCCTCCCATTGAGCTGGGTTATTGTGGATAAATATGACATTTTCATTGATGCACGGGTGCTTCTGTGCAGGTATCACTTTTCCGCTGAAATCTGGAGAACGTTGAGTATACCTGGTCATCTCCTTGTAATTGGATTAATAACATTTGTGGTTTGTGCCAGTGTCCATTCGGTGGTTATCCTTGCTAAAGCCAAGAAAGCAGGGGAAAAGAGCGGAGAGGTTATAAAATGGCAAGGAGTCACAACTATAGTGATGACACTGATTATCCTCATAATCGCCTTGGTGCCTACAATAGTATTCCACCTTGTTGAACGATATCAGAGTGTTGAAGACCAATATAAACTGTACAAATCAGCGCGGATCACCACCGCCCTGTTCATGCTGACTGTAATGTCTAACTTCTACATCTACTGCCTGACTGTCTCTAGCTTCAGACAGTTCCTGCGAGCCAGATTCCATGAGATGTCATCACGTGTTCTTTTTCTTATAATGAGTAAGCTCGGTCGCCCAGGTAAGCTGCTTTCTGATTTAATAGTTAAATGATAATATCCTATAGTCATACTTAAGTTTAGCATATTTGAGTTTGTCGTTTAAAAATGTCATTATTCACTCCAGCGTTTCATGTAGCAGATAGAGTCCCAAAGTAACACAATAAAATAACAGGTAGAGGAACTGGACACTACGAGCTAAGGAATGAATCTAGTCGGGCTAGCTTCAGGAGAAGCACTCAGAGAAGAGACGACATTCAACTAGAACCAGTCTAACCCAGCGCCAGCAACTGCTCCTTTGACTCTGAATACATATATATATACACTGGATCCATTGACAGATCCCAACACACACATCCCTGATTATAGACCATGAAAAAGGAAATGCGAATAATGTATTACTTTCTACATTCTTGCGAAGAATTGACGATCAATTCGATCGTTTAAATAACAAGGACAGACACAATGAACACAATTTTAGTTTGGCTTTTCTTTTTTATTTAAAACGAGTCTGTCGATCTTTGAAAATTGTAAGTCTTTTGATTAAGATTGTACCATTACATGGTTCCACGTACACAATACACATGTGAGATTATTTTAACTACTATCATATTGTTTTTGGCTTTGTTTTATGTTTTAACTTGTTTGTGTTGTATCGTGATGCTCCAGTTTTATTTCGAAGAGTTGATTTCATTTTAAAACGTCTATTAACTTGTTAAAAACTATACCAATTGGATGGCTAAGATTCTTTAAAACGTAAAATAAATTTGTCTGTGAACCGAACGTCTCAAGAGCTTTAAGAGGCAGGGGCCAATGGTTTACATCAGAGTAATACAAAAACAAACACAGGCCAGTAGTAAATTGTACAGAACCCATAACGGTACAAAAGAACAACTTGTGCAAGATATTTCTATGGCTGTGAATAAATTTTTCTCTTTTCAGAGGTGGAATGCTACTTGGGTAAAGGTGAGACGTACGCTGGGAATCAGAACTACACTAACTCTGGTAAACCTTGTGTAGACTGGAAACAGACTAAATGTAAGTAAAACTTATATATATTTAACATATAAATGTAAGTAAAACTTACTTACATTTAAAATATAAATGTAAGTAAAACTATCAAGATTTAACAAATCTGGGTAGTACCAGACTGATACCATGATAAATGTATAAAAACGACATCCTAAGATATAAAAGAGCTGCTGACATTGCAATTTCAGTCCGTAATGATGCGTCTTGTGTTTACTGTAGGAACCCTAACTCGGACTCTAATGGACCTTGGTGTTACACTGACGGTCTAGGGGAGAAAGAGAGCTGCCATACTCAGATACCTAAATGTGGTGAGTTTAACTTGTGGTGAGTTTAAATTGTATCAAGGAGCTAACTTGTAAACAATATCAACATCAAGCACTTGCATTTGACACTCCGGAATCCGGATCCAGTAGAAATAACATTTTTATTTAACTGACTTTTAGTCAAGCTTGAGTAACTGAAAGTTGTGCCCAGGTCTAGTTTATAGTTTCGGAAATGGATCATCAGTGAGGATATCCCATAACTGGAGCAAAAGACACGATAGTAAAATGATGATCAGTTTCAAACCTTACATCCCTGAAAACCAGTAAGTTATAATAGGAAGTAATAAGTAAGCAGCAGTAATTAGTTTCATTTCAACATTTAGCTGCTTCATGAAATGACAGGTGGACATAAGATGGGACATATGTGTGGCAACACAAAGCCTTCGGCTAATATGCTAAGAAGCTGTGTTTCGAATCTAGGCTTAACATTTTCCAAAATATTCTTTCCTCATCGTACGATCTTAACTTCTCTACAACTCAGAACAACCCCCTCAGAACAGATACCTTACGATACTCTCTGCTCTCTATTCCCGGATACCTGAATACTGGAGTGTATCTGGTCTACAGCTGGCATCCAAGTGAAGGGGGATATATTCAACTTAAGGTAAATCGGGCATATATGGCCCATTTTTAAACGTAGATCTGGTTAGAAACGAAATCTGGGTCCCTACCCTCGCACAAGATTATTCTCAATTTTCTTGTTGTGTTCCACAACTATATTTGTAATCTGGTTAATACGTGTAAATGATTGATTTGATACCTGGACAATATGTTGCATGGGTATGCATGCGAATTTGTAGATCATAGTTTCTGTCTTCTACAACTAATATAATATACAGTACTGTTTGAGGGAGGGGGAGCAACCACATAAATAACCATAAATAACGATAAATACATAAGGACACGTTCATTGAAGTTTGAGGATATTGGTAAATATAAGTGACCCTACTGAATGGCACGATGATGTAAAATGTGTCACACTATGAAACTATATAAACCCTCTAACCCTAAGATAATCGTTTCATCCTCTACATAAACTTTGTCGCATAACGATATCTTTATCAGACAATAAGATATCGCTTAAATGCGGCCGGCAGTGAGTTGTAAACTTTGTCACACTATAAAAACGTGACGGAGTTTATATGGACCCCTTGTTGCCGTGTTTGACCAAATTTTCGAATTTCCAATTCATAGAATAGCTGTATATGACTATTATCTACATATTTAGCGACTTTTGTCCTTAAATGGTAGCACCATGTAAACTCCGTCACACATTTAAGAAATTTATATGAGGGATGTTTATGACATCCTGACAAGAAATGCCGAATAGTCTAGCATTATTTTGTGAGCTGAATGTGTTTGGAATTGTTCACATATTTCATTGTTATAGGCAAATACAAATACAGAAGGCAGAAATAGGTAAATGTAGTCACATAAATTTGTATGATATCTCAACATGTGTAAAATTGAGTAAATATTAGTATACCAACTTAAACACCCTATATTACGTACTATGGATCAATTAACAATATTTCAACCATACGCCGGTCATATAAATTATTATATGGCAGTGATATGTTAACATTGGATAAATTTCAACACCTGAACAGGGTAAAAATTTGTAAATGTCGTCACAAAAAAATAATTATAACTTTATTTGCTCCGTGTTGGCAAAATAACTAATTTATCGACATAGTGATGGTGATAAAGTAACATTATATACTAATTGAGGTATGATTCTTCAAAATAGGGGCAAGAAATGTAAATTTCGTCACATCAGCCATTGCATTAGTTAGATAGATTTTCTTTCATATCAACTGCCCTTATTATAGTTGGAATGGATTTATACAGGAAATATAGAAACCCATGCCCATTTTTCATCACATTGAAATTATACCGTTGGGGCAGGAAAAGTAAATTTCGTCATATTTCGGTAAATTAGTGATATCAAACTCAGCATTGTTAAACTTGGGTTCTGATTTGCTGAAAAATAACCTACCAATAATTCCTGGAAGAATATTGAATTCTAATCGGGGTATGGTTCTTCAAAATAGGGTCAAGAAATGTAAATTTCGTCACATACGTCATTGTAAAATTTAGATACATTTTCTTTCACATCAACAGTCCTAATTATAGTTTTAAATGATTAATTCAGAGATAAAGGAAATATAGAAACCCGTGCCCATTTTTCATCACATTGAAATTATACTTTTGGGGCAGGAAAAGTGAATTTCGTCACATTTCGGTAACTTTGTATAATTAAACTCAGAATTGTCAAACTTGAGTTCTGATGATCTGCTGAATAATAACCTACTAATAATTCCTGGAAGAATATTGAATTCTAATCGGGGTATGGTTCTTCAAAATAGGGTCAAGAAATGTAAATTTCGTCACATCAGCCATTGCATTAGTTAGATGGATTTTCTTTCATATCAACTGCCCTTATTATTATTGTGACAATTTTTACATCAACGGCTCTTAACTTGAATCAGCTCTATCCGTGCATCGTCCTTATATACAGTTTTCCCGCCTTCCAAACCAAAATCAGATATAAATGATTTCGGCAATTCACCCAAAATTTTAGATTCCATATTTAATGTGACAGAATTTACATCATTTCCCAATAAGTGCATGTATTTGCTAACTTTTCAAAACAACATATTTTAGGGCTATGATTGGTAGAAGAACCATCAAATAATGAGTTGAAAGGGTTTTGAGGACACCTCACAGTAGAAAAGAGGTATCGTATTCTGAGTGTGACAAAGTTTACAAAATATTGCCTTAAAACCGTTCGATCCCTGCCCTTTAGCCAAATGTTGTATCGTAATTGTTAGAATGACCTAATCTACTATATTTTAAACCAAAAAATGCTAATTGGGCAGCTATGGTTAACACAGTCACAAAAATGTGACATTTTTTACATTATAGTGCCTAAAAACAATAAATTGTATTTCTGAGCCGTGTATATGGAAGTATGGGTCACGTGGCTAATGTCCAGAACTTCTGAACACGCTATTTTTTTTGGTTTACCAACATCCTTAAACTTCAACATGAACGTGTCCATTTACGATTTCATATCATTTTGTGACGATGTTTACATCAACTGCCCTATACTTCAATCAACTGTATCCGTGTATCGTCCTCATATAGAGTTTTCCCGCCTTCCAAACCAAAATCAGATATAAATGATTTCGGAAATTCACCCAGAATTTCAAATTCCATATAATTTGACAGAATTTACATCATTTCCCAATAGCCAAGTGCATGTATTTGTTAACTTTTCAAAACAACATATTTTAGGGCTATGATTGGCAGAAGAACTATCAAATAATGAGTTGAAAGGGTTTTGAGGACACCTCACAGTAGAAAAGAGGTCTCGTATTCTGAGTGTGACAAAGTTTACGAAATGTTGCCTTAAAGCCGTTCGATCACTGCCCTTTAGGCCTACATTGTATCATAATTGTTAGATTGACCTAATCTACTATATTTTAAACCAAAAAATGCTAATTGGGCAGCTATGGTAAACAATGTCACAAAAATGTGACATTTTTTACATAATAGTGCCTAACATCAATACATTTTATTTTTGAGCAGTGCATATGGGAGTATGGGTTACATGGCTAATGTTCAGAACTTATGAATACGCTAGATTAATATATGTTAAAATTAAACCACTATCATCAAAAACGCTGTTTTAGAAATTTACCAATTTCCTCAAACTTCAATGAACGTGTCCATAAACCTATTTTGAAATTGGAGGGAATAATATACATTTATAGGTTTTTTACCAAAAATCGTCAAGGGCAGCTTAATTTCAATTTTCTGGACGCTTTAGAAGATTCTGAGCAAAATTAATATTTTGATATTTGAGGTGAAAATGTCATGTTGAAATTTAGAATCCTATACTCTTTTGTTTAAATTTTGTACTCGCTCAATTCTGTGACAAAGTTGAACTTGTAAATTGCATTAAGACGCTTTCGGTTCAGGGTTTCCCTAATCCGTGAAATCTACTATACTGCGTCATGAAAAATAACATTTACAGTGTCAAATTTGGTGCTACCGAAAGTGTTAAAGCAATTAAAAACCCTCTCCCACCACTTTTTATTGTTTCATAGACGGAGTTACTTTATTTTCCGCACATCTGGTGGTAGTATTGTCCTGGGTTTACATAAAATAAAGTGATCACCACGGCATCCTCACTTTGAACAATCAACAATCAACATGAAGATCTTTCTAGTTATCTGCCTGGTGGCTGCATCTCTCGCGGCTGCCGAAGATGTCCTTCGTGGTATCCTCCGATCCCCAAAAGAGACCCTCAAGCTCTACGGGGAGTTCAAGTCCCGGGAGCATCTCAAGTTCCTTGCATCTGAAGACCGAATGAGGTTCAGACTCTTCCGAGCCAATGCCCAGCTAGTCGTTCAAGCTAACGAGGAGGGGGGATCTGCTGTATTTGGCCTCAACTTCTTCTCCGCGATGACTGAAGATGAGAAGCAACAGTACCTTGGACTGAACGTTACTGGACATGACGAGAACCCTGTGCAAGTCACATCCTCTTCATTCAGTGCCCCCGCAAAGAAACTGTGGACCAATGAGGGTAAGGTTACACCAGTAAAAGACCAAGGAAGTTGTGGATCTTGTTGGGCATTCGGAGCCGTAGGTGGTTTGGAGACGAGGTACCATCTAGAATCTGGTAAACTGAGGAACTTTGCAGAGCAGGAATACCTGGACTGTGTTTTCGAGGGAAAATCATTTTCCCTCGAAAACACACTTTGGGATGGTTGCGATGGTGGATGGAGTGATATCTGTTACGACTACTCTGCGAAGAACGGTGGAAGGTTGGCCTCAGCTGCTGACTACTCTTACACTGCTGTAGATGGAAGATGCAAAAGTAGTTCGAAACGTGACGCTATGGTGGCAGCTAAAATTGTCGGCTACACTAAAGTAAGCCCAACTGAGGAAGACAACATTAAAGCCCTTGCATCAGGCTCCTTGTCTGCCGCTATCCAAGTGACGGCTTACTTCTACCAGTATAGTAGTGGCATCATCCAAGACAAAACATGTACTGGGAGAGTTAACCACGTCGTCACAGCGGTAGGGTACACGCCGGACTTCGTCCTGGTAAAGAACTCTTGGGGAACCAGATGGGGAGATAATGGATTCGTGAAGTTAGTCCGAGGTTACAGCTCCAATTGCGGCCTCTTCAAGTACAGCACCTATCCCAACCTTGATTCAACCGGACAGTCTGACTACACTCCCTCTGACAAAGCCACCGACTACAAACCAACTGAATATGATGATGTTATCCCCCAACCTGACCCAAACTGCTTTGACAAGATGGACTGTAAGCCCGACTATTGCACGAGGGGTGGCGCATGGGACGAAATAGCTGAGGTGTACTGCCGTAAGACTTGTAACAAGTGTTGCGCCAACGGGACCATTAGATGTCCTGATGGACTGTGCCGACACGAACACATGTGCTAAAACTTAACTTCTAGTATTTCGTCATGTTTACGATTTCATTTGTTTTAAATAATTTGACAGGTGACACTGCATTTAAACCTTGTTTTATTGATTAGATACCTTAGGGAGACTTTCTTGTCGGACTTTATTTGAACGGACAATTATAATGGGCCGCTGGAGGCCCGGGCGTGTCTGTTTACAGTCCGTACTCCTACTCCAAGTCAAAGTCCGTTGAAATTTGTCCCAAATAAAATATACCAAAAAATGGTTCAAAATGTTCAGAAAGTTTTATGAAAGCAACCTTTTGATACTCTGAACTGTTTATAATCCTATTATCAAATAAAACCCAATACAATCAAATTCAAGGTAAAAAAAAGCAAAAAATCCAATTTTCCCAATCCCAATAAATTGGTTTTCAAACTTGATCCCAAACCCCTTATTAATATTATGCAGTAAAAACACTTAAAAACACTTAAAAACACTTAAAAACATCCTACTCTATAAACCAATAAATAACCATAAATGCATATACTACCTATTTTGAAATCGGAGGGAATTATAGCTATTTATGGGGTTGCCATCCCCCCCTGTTTGACAATAATAAATATTATTTCAGTGGCTATACCATGAGGACCTGACCCCAGTAGTCATAATATCTAAGAAGACAAAACACCGTTTTTATAACGTCAAAGTATCAAGGAAGTACGAGAACCTTTCCATGACAGTAAGTTACCAGGTGTAGATACAGCCTTGCTGTCAGCTAATACATGCTATGTAACAATTGCCATTATGTTATATTATCAATCCAAGGTCTTTCGTAAATGTAAATTAATCTTCCGATTCTTGAATAATGAATATGAAGAAATTTTATGCTTTTGTGTTCGTCATTAAAAACGTTGTATTTTAGGTTAACAATAAAGTGTACAAATCTCTTGGACAGTTAGAACCACTTGAGTTTGAAGATACAGGTAAAGTCACTATTTTACCGAACACCCCCCCCCCCCCCCTCCCCACCAGCCCCCGAACCTGGTAACATAAGTAATTTGAATAAGACGATAATATCTTATCAGATAAGTTGGGTACTCATCCTCCACCACTTGTACTAACTTATTTGTTTAACACATTATATCAGGTAATATAGAAGTCGGGTACAGTGAGAAGAGTCCTGCGACAGAGTTCTCTGGGTGTATGTCTAACGTGGAGTATAATGGTCTCAGCATACTCAGACACTTTGGTTAGTTTATAAAGGGGGGGGGGGGGGCATACTCAGACACTTTGGTTAGTTTATAAGGGGGGGGGGGCATACTCAGACACTTTGGTTAGTTTATAAGGGGGGGGGGCATACTCAGACACTTTGGTTGGTTTATAAGGAGGGGGGGCATACTCAGACACTTTGGTTAGTTTATAAGGAGGGGGGGGGGGCATACTCAGACACTTTGGTTAGTTTATAAGGGGGGGGGCATACTCAGACACTTTGGTTAGTTTATAAGGAGGGGGGGGCATACTCAGACACTTTGGTTAGTTTATAAGGAGGGGGGCATACTCAGACACTTTGGTTAGTTTATAAGGGGGGGGGGGCATACTCAGACACTTTGGTTAGTTTATAAGGAGGGGGGGCATACTCAGACACTTTGGTTAGTTTATAAGGAGGGGGGCATACTCAGACACTTTGGTTAGTTTATAAGGGGGGGGGGGGGCACACTCAGACACTTTGGTTAGTTTATAAGGAGGGGGGGCATACTCAGACACTTTGGTTAGTTTATAAGGGGGGGGGGCATACTCAGACACTTTGGTTAGTTTATAAGGAGCAGAGGCACATATTAGGTGCGATGGGTGCGGGATCGCACAATTTACCGTTTTCCGCACATTTCCGCATAATTTATTGTTTTCCGCACACTCCCGCACATTTTGTAATTTTCTGCATATTTCCGCATAATCTAGCATTTTCCGCGTAATTTCGCATAATTTTGAAATTTTCGCGTTAAGATTTTTGAGTGTAAAAACCAAAATATGTTAAAAGTCGGGCCCTTTTAGGACCGTGACTCAGGCCCTTTTAGGACCGTGACTCAGGCCCTTTCGGGACCGTGACCCAGGTCCTTTTGGAACTCATACCTAGGCCATGTGACCCAGTTACCACGTGACCCAGGTCCTTTCGGGACCCTGACCCAGGCCCTTTCGGGACCATGACCCAGGCCCTTTCGGGACCCTGACCCAGGTCCTTTCGGGACCCTGACCCAGGCCCTTTTGGGACCGTGACCCAGGCCCTTCTGGAACTCATGCCTAGGCCACGTGACCCGGTTACCACGTGACCCAGGCCCTTTCGGGACCATGACCCAGGCCCTTTCGGGACCCTGACCCAGGCCCTTTCGGGACCCTGACCCAGGCCCTTTTGGGACCGTGACCCAGGCCCTTCTGGAACTCATGCCTAGGCCACGTGACCCGGTTACCACGTGACCCAGGCCCTTTCGGGACACTGACCCAGGCCCTTTCGGGACCGTGACCCAGGCCCTTTCGGGACCGTGACCCAGGCCGTTATGGAACCCTCGTCGTTACCGTACTTCGATCATACCTGCAGCCCTCTTTATCGGGTAATGAGCTCTATTCGTTGTAGCGTTGGCTTTATAGTGGGCTTAATGGATCTTGGATCAAGTGGTTTACAAGTACTGACGATCAATGCCAACAAGCGTGTCACATATTTGCGATCAGGCATCGGATCTGATCGACTCTATCAAGAGGCGTCCTCAAATAACTGTCTCCTGATCTCTACCAGATCAAGTCACTGTTTTCAGACAACTGAATCTCAATATAGGTTCAATCATGGTCTTAGTAAAGAACTACACCCTCGGCCTCAGTAACACATAAATAGACCTATTTTTGATAAGAGCGGCGGTTACACGTTTAGAATTTCCAAAGTCCTTCAGAAAATGCAAAAGAAAACCGCACAATTCCCGCACAAATTTCGAAAAAATCGTCGCACATTTGCCGCATAATTGGTAAAAATTTACCGCACCTTACCGCACATTTTACCTTTATAGTCGGGTGCGGTACCGCATAATTTCGATTTTTTTACCGCACCTAATATGTGCCTCTGATAAGGAGGGGGGGGGGGCATACTCAGACACTTTGGTTAGTTTATAAGGAGGGGGGCATACTCAGACACTTTGGTTAGTTTATCAGGAGGGGGGCATACTCAGACACTTTCGTTAGTTTATAAGGGGGGGGCATACTCAGACACTTTGGTTAGTTTATAAGGGGGGGGGGCATACTCAGACACTTTGGTTAGTTTATAAGGAGGGGGGGCATACTCAGACACTTTGGTTAATTTATAAGGAGGGGGGCATACTCAGACACTTTGGTTAGTTTATAAGGAGGGGGGGCATACTCAGACACTTTGGTTAATTTATAAGGAGGGGGGCATACTCAGACACTTTGGTTAGTTTATAAGGAGGGGGGGCATACTCAGACACTTTGGTTAGTTTATAAGGAGGGGGGCATACTCAGACACTTTGGTTAGTTTATAAGGAGGGGGGACATACTCAGACACTTTGGTTAGTTTATAAGGAGGGGGGGCATACTCAGACACTTTGGTTAGTTTATAAGGAGGGGGGCATACTCAGACACTTTGGTTAGTTTATAAGGAGGGGGGCATACTCAGACACTTTGGTTAGTTTATAAGGAGGGGGGCATACTCAGACACTTTGGTTAGTTTATAAGGAGGGGGGCATACTCAGACACTTTGGTTAGTTTATAAGGAGGGGGGGCATACTCAGACACTTTGGTTAGTTTATAAGGGGGGGGGGCATACTCAGACACTTTGGTTAGTTTATAAGGAGGGGGGGGGCATACTCAGACACTTTGGTTAGTTTATAAGGAGGGGGGCATACTCAGACACTTTGGTTAGTTTATCAGGAGGGGGGCATACTCAGACACTTTCGTTAGTTTATAAGGGGGGGGCATACTCAGACACTTTGGTTAGTTTATAAGGGGGGGGGGCATACTCAGACACTTTGGTTAGTTTATAAGGAGGGGGGCATACTCAGACACTTTGGTTAATTTATAAGGAGGGGGGCATACTCAGACACTTTGGTTAGTTTATAAGGAGGGGGGGCATACTCAGACACTTTGGTTAATTTATAAGGAGGGGGGCATACTCAGACACTTTGGTTAGTTTATAAGGAGGGGGGGCATACTCAGACACTTTGGTTAGTTTATAAGGAGGGGGGCATACTCAGACACTTTGGTTAGTTTATAAGGAGGGGGACATACTCAGACACTTTGGTTAGTTTATAAGGAGGGGGGGCATACTCAGACACTTTGGTTAGTTTATAAGGAGGGGGGCATACTCAGACACTTTGGTTAGTTTATAAGGAGGGGGGCATACTCAGACACTTTGGTTAGTTTATAAGGAGGGGGGGGGTATACTCAGACACTTTGGTTAGTTTATAAGGAGGGGGGCATACTCAGACACTTTGGTTAGTTTATAAGGAGGGGGGGCATACTCAGACACTTTGGTTAGTTTATAAGGAGGGGGGCATACTCAGACACTTTGGTTAGTTTATAAGGAGGGGGGCATACTCAGACACTTTGGTTAGTTTATAAGGAGGGGGGCATACTCAGACACTTTGGTTAGTTTATAAGGAGGGGGGCATACTCAGACACTTTGGTTAGTTTATAAGGATTAAGGAGGGGGGGGCATACTCAGACACTTTGGTTAGTTTATAAGGAGGGGGGCATACTCAGACACTTTGGTTAGTTTATAAGGAGGGGGGCATACTCAGACACTTTGGTTAGTTTATAAGGATTAAGGAGGGGGGGGGCATACTCAGACACTTTGGTTAGTTTATAAGGAGGGGGGCATACTCAGACACTTTGGTTAGTTTATAAGGGGGGGGGGGGGCATACTCAGACACTTTGGTTAGTTTATAAGGAGGGGGGCATACTCAGACACTTTGGTTAGTTTATAACTTATAAACTAACCAAAGTGTCTGAGTATGCTCCCCTCCTTATAAATTATAAGGGGGGGGGGGGGGGGGCATACTCAGACACTTTGGTTAGTTTATGAGGGGGGCATACTCAGACAGTTTGGTTAGTTTATAAGGAGGGGGGCATACTCAGACACTTTGGTTAGTTTATAAGGAGGGGGGCATACTCAGACACTTTGGTTAGTTTATAAGGAGGGGGGCATACTCAGACACTTTGGTTAGTTTATAAGGAGGGGGGCATACTCAGACACTTTGGTTAGTTTATAACTTATAAACTAACCAAAGTGTCTGAGTATGCTCCCCTCCTTATAAATTATAAGGGGGGGGGGGGGCATACTCAGACACTTTGGTTAGTTTATAAGGAGGGGGGCATACTCAGACACTTTGGTTAGTTTATAAGGGGTGGGGCATACTCAGACACTTTGGTTAGTTTATAAGGAGGGGGGCATACTCAGACACTTCGGTTAGTTTATAAGGAGGGGGCATATTCAGACACTTTGGTTAGTTTATAAGGGGTGGGGGGTAAATAGTATATAAGGGGAGGGGAGGGGCTGAACGGTTATTTTCGCACCAGTAAATTGACAGATTGGGTCACAATTTACCACCTCTGACCGGAAAGAAAGCCATGATAACTAACTGCTCTTTAACTCCCTCAGACAGAGCCGATCCGAACAAACCACTAAAAGCCTCTGCCAGAATCACGGGTAATGTGACAAGAACAGAATCCTGTATGTACGTGGCTCCACCTACTTTTACCAGACCGCCCTACTCCTCGTCACAGAGACAAGGTGTTTCTATTTTAACTCTGGTGGTTGTGTTATTGAGAGCTTTCTATTGTTATAGACTGGATATCTTGTAGATTTGTTGATCTTTGTTTTTGTATAAAACATGTATCATGATTCTTATAACTGTTACTCCTCCTCTTATGCCGTAAAAAGCTCGTAACCTTTCGGCTTTCTATAGTAAAATTTAGCATTACATTTGGACTGAGTAAGTACATGAGTCAGACACAAACTTAGAACATTATGAACAAAAACAGTGTGTTGCTAGTTTAGTTGTGTGTGATAGTCAAAGCAGCTATTGATTACACATTTTTCTTAGTTTGTTACTTGTGTTTTGATTGCATAGGGTTCAAACTTCAGATTTTTTGCGAGATTTTTAGTTTTATCATTTGTTGGTGCGAGCAATACAGTCTCAGTAGAGATTAGGAAGATTTCAGTTATATTTCCAGATTTGCAATTGAGATAAGTTTTGAATGTGCATTTTGCAATTATACAACATTAGCATTACAATAATATGATGTAAACAGTCAATATTATATAGCTGAAATTTGGGTTTCGTGAGAACAATTCAACAGACAATGTGTATCCTTTTGTAACCCTATACCGCTATGGTTGTGAGAACTTGTAAATTGTGTTCTGAGCACTTGCCCGTATGAGAGCCTAATTAATTAAAATCAGTTCCTTGATACAAAAAAGGAGTCCAGGATCACAACTGTAGCTCCATTATCACAAAGTACGAAGGGCATAATGTTAAATACATTGTACCAAAACATCTCGGTAACAAACAAACAAACAAACAGAACATACCGAGACATCCATGACTTTAGTGATCTTCCATCCTTCAATAACAAGACCAATACAGACTGAAATAGCGACCATAGTATTGGTGTCATTGTCCAGAACGTACAACACTACTATCAGCTGAGTGAAGATGTTGAATATGATACTCCTCACACTTAGACCTTCCAGACTCTTCCGGGATTTCCAGAACTGTATATCTGAGAGTAGGGGAACGTTATATTGAGTAGTGAGCTAGAGCATAATATTCCGGAGATTTCTGGCTTGTCAACTATTGCCAGTTCTGATTTCTCGCTTGTGAAAAACCAATAAATAAAATTGTTGCAGATTTGAAAGTATGAATACATTTCTTCTATTTAATACTGTACCGTTCTTAAAAGCAAGGAACTCGAAGACAGTGTGAACCAGGCTGACAACAATTGTAACACCGAGTAGGTAAGGGTTTGTTTCCAACATTGTTCTCTGAAAAGAAAGTGACTTTGAGACTGGCCGAACTAGTTAGTAACATGTCCCATTATTGAATAACAATTATAAAACTGTAACACATTTACATTTTAATCACTGTCAATTTGGTAATTCAAGTACGATCTGAGGTGAAAACACTGTCAACAAATTTAGCGATCTCAACAAAGATGAAACAGAACAAACTGTAAAAAACAAACCTTAACAATATCATTCTCTTCATCGCTAGCCTCTGCAACACCTAACATACTGTTCCACTGTTTCTGCATCTTCTGGGCTTCGTATATTTGGAAGTAGAACACAGAAATTGGAGCATAGTTAACGTTCAATTCCAGTTCCCTGAAATTTACAAGCGATATTTAGAATTGATGCGATTTGGTCGATCAAAGTCATTTCTATCGTGGCAAAAAAAAAAAAAAATCATTCACGCTGTTAAATGACAATTCTTGATTGATACTTACTTGACGGTGTCGTTGATTGGGACGAGATCGGAATTTAGATCCCAGTAGTCGTTGATGTATAAGACAGGCTTATATTGCATAACCTCCATATCTATGTCTATCCCTGCGGATATTTTACTTCAAAGTTTGTAACTTGTATGTCGTAAGTGAAAAGTTAAGCCAAGCATGCTTAATTGTAGCGTAAGTGCCTCACGAGCGCGCGCGGCGTGTGACGAAACGTTCAGTTATGAAGCACTTCAACTTTCATAGAAATAGCGCAAACTCATGCTAGTTGTTGGCGCATCATGCGGAAATGTCCCGGGAATTTCTTCAGATTGGTGGTTCTGGAACTGTTAACTCACACTTATCGAATGGCGGAGGAATGGGTTGACCTGCTGGCCACACTCTTTGATCGTCTAACATTGATATTGTTAGGTTTGGATGCCAGTAGGAGATTATATCGCCATCTTCAGCTCCCTGAAAGCGAAAGTTAGTCACTTCCGTGTTAAGCGAACATTGATTTACACAGTAAAATTTGATGAAGTGGAGTGAAAATGAAAAGGTTGAAATGGAATTCCTTACCTCGATCTTGTTTTTAGTTTCTCCAGTAAGGAGATTCGTGGTGGACTCTATCTTACGTTTCTTGAATCTCGTCCACACTGTAATAATAAGAATGGAATTAGTTCGATATCTTAAATCAAAACTAAAAGCTACACCTGCTTGCTTCAAATCAAACCTATATGCGAAGCATTAAGGAATATAAATTACAAAACTAGGGGTTCCAAATATTAGATAATGAATGTATGGTCATAACTCTTTAATTCCAATTTCCACGGCCAATTTTCAGCAATGTTTCGTGAACAGCTTATTAAGAGAAAGGTTATAGGTATATAATATATATAGGATATAGAGAAATCTGATCATTTGACCAAACGATGTCTTGCCCACATCGGCAGATTATCTGCACGGAAAGTTTGGAATTTGGTGCCAAAGAGGAAAGACCTGACCTTTTTTTTCGGGCATAAGAAAATTTAATTGATCTGCGAGGAAAATTAGAACACTCTGGATCATGGATATGGGATGTCTTGAGGCAACTCAAGAAAAGGGAGCATCATAATTGATTGTGGTTGACAGCCTTGCCACTATAAACTTTGGTTTATTCTTAACAAACAAGAATTTCGAGATGCTATTGCTCTAAGATATAATTGGTGCATTCCACTTTCCACAAACCAAAATTCTGTGGTTGCGGACAAAAGAATGAAATGGTCCATCAGTGGCGTAACAATGGCCCCGCTGACCCCACTAAAATTGGGCGCCCGTAAAATTGCACTTGGAACTAAAGAAGTAGTACTTAAAACAGAGCTGCTGACATCAATAAAACTCATTTATAAAGTCATTTTAATACCAAATGACAGACACAAAGGTATACAGTGTAACTTTATTGGACAATCGATGTCACGTGGCAAAATGGAGCTAAATGATTGGTACATACTTCTAGATGTGACAACCACATCGTGTTTATTGTGTTTCGGGTGTAGGGGGTTTATTTGAGCTTCATTCCTTGCTGCCACCAAATGCAGGTACATTGTACCGTTATTCTGTAGATCCTGACAGTGAAATCTGTTAGTCGTACATAATGTTGCAATCCAAAGATTGCTGCATATACAATGTAAATATCAAATATATTAAGCAATTTGTATATGCTCAATAATATGCTTAATAATATGCCCAATTTACTCCTCAATTTAATTGTATAGCACACCGCAACACTGTCATTATAATTGCCTGTACAGCAGCAACACTGTCATTATCTCGTGTCTCAACTTACAACACTAGCTGGAATAATAGCCTGGAAGTTCCTCTGTCCGTTCTTCTCCTCTCCGTCGTACCACTCACCCATCTTGAGAGCGGCAAAGTGACACAGCAGACTACTGTTCATCAGGTTGAAGCTATCTTCCGTGCTGGTGTACACATACAGCTCCTGAAGTGTGTGGAATGTAGGAGGTATTTTATTTTACAAGGGTCCGGTAACTGACTGAGTACTGAGGTCAAATATTCTACTAAATAGCAAGTTAGAGTGTATTGAGACTCTTTACTGAACACACCCTCAATTCTTTTCAAAACGTGAAATCTATAATGTACACGTAAAGTAATAACACAAATATGTACTCGGATTAATTACCTTACACTTAGAGTTAGTGTATTGTAATGTGGTAATGTATTATATGTACTGCTCATTATCCAGGCACACTGACCGTGTCAAATGTACACGTGTCATGACAATAGTGTCGTTAATTTATTAGTATATGCTATATTTTTTACTGCTCATGCATTTAACGCTATAAGCTGGTTAGGTAATCACAACAGTCATTGCTTCGATTGGATTGAAATTTGGAGCCCCATTTTCAACCTTTGAAGAACAAAACACTTAATACATGGAAATAATTGTAAATATAAATCCAAAATAAAAGGTACAATGAACGATAAGCTAGATAAGACAGAGGAGAAGACTTACGAAGGGAGTGCCAGAGGGCCACATGTTAGAAGCCTGCCCAGGAGCTGCTACACCATCTGGGGTAGCTACCGGGGACTTGCCACGGAAAAAGGAGGGGATCACACTGATCATGATGTACATCGAAATAAACCTGCAATTAGGGAATTAATTAATTCTTTGATTGTGAAGATTTAACAACGATTGCATCTTCTATTATAATCAATAAAATTACAATTTATAAATCTTAAAATAAGAACATTTCCCTAACACAGACCTCCACAGCATACTTTTCCAGGTGTTCTGTTGTTCAGGCTGTTGCCCTTCCGCTGCCACCGCACCTCCCACAGGAGCTACGGCAGCTGCAGGTTCCACTGTTGCGGGTACCGGCATTCTGCCTCCAGGCTCTACTTGCTATAAGGGGAGTCACGTGGTTACTTGTCAAGTCACGTGGTTACAGGTCAATTAATTGTAAATCTGTATCAGATAAATTCATAGATATACGACAGGTTGGTTAAATAATACTTCTTATCTTAGGTTGATAAACATCATAACGTTCTGCATAACAATTTTAGTCAGCCAATAAAGCAATTAAACAACATGAGAATTATTTATATTTTAGATTGCATTAATTCTTCTGTTGTAAGTTTTTAAAATTACAAATATAATCTAAACATAGAATTTGCAAACATTCAGCATGAGATCTTTTTACTCTTAAATTTGTATGGGTTTTTTAACAAATCATGTAACCAAGACTAGAATATTCGATGGTTAGTAAGCATATTAACAGACTTAGAGTGAAAGCTGATTTTGTTTCAAGGATTCAGTGTATAAGCTGATTGTCGTTTCAGCCTCCTCCACCGGCCTGTATCATAGTTCATTTCAAACAGAATCTCGACCAAAGAGTTTCTAGCCTCTGCATCTGTTTCAACTTCGCTGTTTAACAAAATAGTAACAGTAGACCCCTTCTCGGGGTTTGGATTCACTCTGTTACCCTTCAAAAAGTTCACTATCACAGCTTGGTCCGTCTCAATCAATCGGTTACTTTTTTCTAGAACGCTAGTTAATGATCGGAGGGTATCAGGATCAAGAAAGCCACTTTGGTAATCAAGACTGGGTGAAAAGAGAGGCTGTGAAGGAGCAAAAGAGTTTACTTGGTAAGAGTCGTCTAGTTTTGGGGTAGGAGGAGGCTGATCAAGACCATAGTAAGGAAATGAGGAGTTATATTTGTTAAGATAGTCCTGGAAACTGGCATCCTGATCTCCTACAGGAGTATCCGGTTCCTCTGAGTCCTGGGATTTTAGTCGATCATTGACCTTTCGCCTCTTTCTAAGCTCGGGCATTGGGGCTTCGTTCATGTCGAGGATTTTAATACCATACTCTTGTTTAGGCTTGAAGGAAGGTTTGTACTCTATATTAGAGACAGGTTTACGAGCAGCAGGAGTAGGGACTGCAGTGGTTTGTCCCCGATATTGAGGTATCCCTGATGTGGAAACTCCATCACGTGACCGGATCTCCTGCTCTCTTTTCCTGGAGTCCTGTAATTCCCTTCCCTTTGCCAACAACTCTGCACGTGCACCTGCTGATTTGTGCTTTGTGCTGAACTTGAAATGTTGAGTTGGAACTATCTTTCCGGAGGAGCCTGTGTTCATGTACAATCTCTCAAGAGGTCTGAGATTAGCACTTGCAGGTTCGATCAGCAAACTTGTGATGCTCTTGATGGCATCCTGCCAATTCTCATCATTTAACTCAGTGCAAATTTTACCATCTTTGGGGAAAGTTTTCAACATTCCTGAGAGCACTCTGGACCACTCGTCAGGGTCATTCTCTGCCTTAGCAAAAATCTGTTGAAGCTCAGTAGACCCATGTTCTATCATCCTGTGAGGCATGTTCAGGGTTGCAAGAAGCAGCTTGTTCTTAACTTGAGGTTCCAGAGAAGAGTAACATGTCTTGATGTTATCACAAAGTTCAGGAGTTAGGGATGGGGCGATGTTTTCTCCTGACCATTGATCTGTTGAGTGAAGCTTGTTGTGCAGTAACCGACATGTGTCCATCTTCTAAATGTAACAGAGTTAACATTTTATTGTATGGCTAGTTACTTGTAACAGAGTAGAGAATTTTGTTGCTGATTTAAATCATATTTTATCTAGTGTAAGAGTTACCTAGTCTATAGCTCGGAAATACTGGTATGACAATAAAAAAGTAAGCAACAATTGCATCATGCATTATAGAAAAATAATCAAATTTGCTAAATTTTAGCAACTAACTCTGCCATGGTCTGACAAATTAGGATATTTTTCGAAATCTGATATTTCCAGTTAAAATTGCCTGGATTTGGTTTCTGTAAAATCCCTTAGTCGAGCTAAAATCAATATATGATATGTAGTATTGCATACTTTTAGGAATTAAACTGTTTAGTGATTATGTTACTAGGGGATTATTTAAATACTTGGCATCTCCCTTTTTATTAAGAGTTTGAATAATGCAAATCTAATAATTTCGAGTGAGTCATATAGAGCATTAGAGGACAGCAACCCTTTGTCAGATCATGGCAGTTGGGCAGTATACAATAAACACTATTAAACATTATTAAACACTATTAACACTACCAAAAAATGCACTACAAATTACCAGAGTGGATCAATAAAGTAAACATAAAAAAATAAAATGATCTTATATTATCAACCTTAAAAGAAACATCTGCTCAGGCCTCAGATGCCTGTACATCTTCTGATACTAGCTATAAAAATCTAAACTTTTAATTTCATGAGTAAGCTAACGATATGCAGTATCAACCCAAAAAAGATATGAACGTTGTTGTACATTTCAATTAAAATCCTCAAAAAAAGGGTTCTAAAATGGCCACAATCTGGTTGACGTAATATGTCTTTAGTAAATGATATTATGCCTTGATAATAATCGTCTGGGATAGATTGATCAGTGGCCTTGAGCCCAGCCATAATAAAATCATTCTAGCCATAAACAAAAATCCAATTGATTACTCGTTACTGGAGATTGTGACTAATGTGACTTCATGCCTAGATAGGGAATTGTCTCACAGTTTCAATGTTAAAAACCCTATAATGCTTAAAGTGTCAAATTAATGTGCATATGTGATACCTCGAAAAATTCAGCTACATATTTATTTATAGAAAAAATGCAACCATTGAAACAAATTTAAAATTTAATAAAACTATTTAAAACTTTTAAAATACCAAGTCATAAAAACATAATTAGTATCGTAGCTTAAAGTAAACAATTGATCAAGAGTCATAATAATAAGACAAACCACGATTTCTATAGCCAATTTTCATGTTAGTAGTTAAACATTTTCATGAAACTTATACTTGAATAAATCCCAGTTCATATTGTTATTACCCTAGTGTCTAACTATTCTGCAGTGATGAGAAAAACAATAAGATATCATGCATTACATAATATGCTCCTTCCAAAGAGTTTAAGACAGACTAAGTACATCGTTTGTTTTTAATGCAATATCTCAAAGTACCACAGGTTATCAGAATGGCAACAAGTGCTATGCCACCATACTGGAGAGCATTCAGCATTAAAGTGCGTTTGATATCTTGATTAAGATGCTCGGCTTGGTGCGCTAGGAGCTCTATCAGCTCCCTTGAAGAATTATCGGTTTGTTGCAAAGAACTTAAAAATTTTCTGTTGATCTTCAATCGTGATTTTAGTCTTGTAAGTGGCATTCTTGCAGGGGCAGAATGTTTTTTCTGCTTTTGGGGGAAAATTTTTCGAGAGGATGGCGAATCACACAGGTTAGATACACTTTTTATGCCACGACCAAAAAACTGATTTGGCACCACTGTATGTCTGCGTTTCATAGGCAGAGGCTCAGACAATACACCTGACAATTCATAGTCTTTTTTCTTCAAAATGCTTTTAGGGTATTGTTGGTCTCTAGATTCAGCTGGCTGGTCAATAATTTGAAACTCATCATCATGCGTTTTCTGGGGAGGAATTTCCGAAGGAGAATCCAAGTTGTCCCTCTTTTCAAAAATAAGTAACTCATCAGATGAAAGCACCTTCCTAAACTGAAAGAAACCATGTTTAGAAATATGCTGGCTTAGCTCTTCATCAGAATCTTTCTCACCACTAACATCCTCTTTTGAAGGCTGAGGTTGAGATTTTTCATTAATAGTTTCAACAGTGTCTGCAACTGATACAGATTTTTTAGTTTCTATCGATTTGTTCAGAGCCTCTAAAAACTCTGGGTCGACGTCCCCCGAATTGCATTTTTCCTCATTTGAGGACAAATTATCAATGGCATTTTCAAGAAATCCTTTGCGAGGATATTGTAAGGGTGAGAGTGTAGAGTCAGAATGTTCTGATATGGTTGATAAAGAGTGAATATTTGGACTTTCGTCAAAGGTAACCCTTCCAATTTCGTCACCATTGTCACTGCGATTTCTCAGGTGCTCCAAACCATTTATAACATCTGCTTTGTTCATGAAACATCTATCAAGTTCATCTAGAGATGTTGATATGGTTCTTTGAGGTTCAACCAAAGCAAGAGATAGGAATGCCTTATTAAATGGAATGCGAGTTTTAGACGATTCAATTTCATCATCCTCACAAATTTCTTCATCACAACACTTGCCTAAATGCTGATCTTTCGAAAATAATCGTTCCAACATACTCCAATAATTAACAGATTTTCCTTACGACATGACAGGGTACATTCTACCATACATACTCAGTTGAACCTGGAGATATAGATAATAATAATAATAATAATAGGATTATGGCCACATGGCCATCTCGACAAAACTTGAAACCCAACTGCACTCTACGCTATTGCAGTTCTTCTTTTCCTTTAGCATCAGCAGGTAAATGTACCTTCAGATGTTAAAGTTATCTTAAATAGTTAAGGAATAATATATATCCAGACTCGTGACAGCAGTATAAATTTTATTTATTCTCTAATAATTAACGTATAATTAAAAAAAAAGTTTAAATAAAATAATTAACGTACATACTGAATTTCGAGTAAAAAGAGAAGCTGCTAACACTTCAGCAGACATTTTTGTCTGATTGGCTTACTGCACTTCCATTGAAGAGATTTGGCTACTCCCTGAACAAGATTGAGTTCCGTGATGCTCTGTACTTGCGTTATGGTTGGGAGATCCCTAACACCCCATTTCACTGTGCTTGTGGAGAGAGAAATAATGTGAATCACACACTTATATGCAAGGAAGGTGGCTATGTTTCTATGAGACACAACAACATCCGCGATCTAAATGCAGAGCTGCAGCGTGAAGTATGCAGAGATGTAGTGACTGAGCCAGCATTGATACCCCTTGATAATGAAGAAATTGTTGGTACCAATGCTGATAGAGCTGCACCTGATGTATCCTCACGAGGTCTCTGGAGCACATTTGAACGAACATTCTTTGATGTCTGTGTTACCCACCCCAACTCACCCACATATGACAAAAAAGATATGGAACAGATCTATAAAGCTCATGAAATGAGGAAAATGAAAAAGTACAACAACAGAATCATCCAGGTGGAAAAAGGCACCTTTACCCCACTTATATACTCAACAAATGGCGGATGGGGTCCACAAGCCACAAGATACCACAAGAGACTCGCTGAAAAACTATCCCAGAAGAGAGGAGAAGACTATGAGGCTATTATGTGTTACATGCGCACCAGGATTAGATTCTCAATCCTCAGGAGCACCCTGATAGCGGTCAGGGGTGAGAGAGGGAGACGGCAATCGTATACATTGCCAGTCAGTGTAACATCGTTTAACTTGATACCTGCCACCATGGACTATGAATGTTTCTAGACACTATCCTTTTGATATTGATTGAAATAAATTTTCGTGCACATACAGAATGAATGGTTAATAATTTAATATATATGTAATCTTATATACCTTACTGTCATACTACAAATTAATTAAACATTTGAAATCTGATATATATATCACTCCTATATATAGGAGTAGTAACCATATTTACTATGCAAAATGCCCCAGCCCCCAACCACATAGTGTAAATTTATATAGAATTCAAATTCCATTATATCATCATTAAACCTCAATAGTCAATATAATAGCCCAAGCAAAATTAAATAACTTCTTATTGATTGAAATAAATTTTCGTGCACATACAGAATGAATGGTTAATAATTTAATATATATGTAATCTTATATACCTTACTGTCATACTACAAATTAATTAAACATTTGAAATCTGTTAACCAGAGAATAAATTTCTAAACCTAATGCAAGTGAAATAATATAGATGCAATAAAGAATGCCTAATGTGAGTATCATCTGTCAATGTCCTTGTAAAAAAGTCTGTAAAAGAGATATGAGTAACTATAGTACAGACAGATCCGTCTGAAAAAATCGATCTGCTGACACACGAAGCTTTCAGAGGATTTTTGACGTTTTTGAGTCCCATTAGATGCCCTTTATGGCTGACCAACTTTTCCAAACTTTTCCACGTGTCTTAAGGCCACTTTTTGCCACTTTACCACTTTTTACCACCTTTCTTGTTTGTCGAATATCTTTAGTTGTGAACATCGTAAAAGGTTGCGAATCAATCGAGTGTGTTCATATTATCAGGAAGAAAAACTTTTGTTGGAACAATTTTTACGTCAGATAATAAGTTAATTGGATAATTATCAATTAACCAATTAGCAAAATTCTAAAAAATTTTTATTGTCTAAAAATGATCGGAATAGCTTAAAACACGGAGAAAAGTAGTTTTTAGAAAAAATTTGAAAATTTGTCACTTACATTTTTTTTTCGAGACTTCGAAAAATTTCGAAAATTCAAAATATTTTTTTCCGCCAAAAGTGATCAAATTGCATGAAACGCGGAGAAAAATGATTTTCAAAAAAACTTAGTCAATTTTTCGTTTCAAGAATACTTAAATCACCAATATTTGTAGTTGGAGTTCAGTAAATCTCGGCAGATTTTAGTAATAATCAGGAATTACTAACTCTAAGTGGAAAGGTCTGAAACTGAAAAACGTTAAGTTTAACCATACGATCGCGATATAAGAGTTTCATAACT